TGGAACGAACGAAGACGGAGAGAGAGAGAGAGAGAGAGAGAGAGAGAGAGAGAGAGAGAGAGAGAGAGTGGAAGAGACGAACTTTAAAATCGTTTCCCTCTTCCAAAGGTCGAAAACTCGGCCTTTCCCTCGACACTCACTGAACTAAATTAGGCCGAGGTTTCCCAGTTTAGCATCTTCGCGAGAGCAAACAGCGACTTGGAGGAACTTCGTGTAAACGTAGTTTCTTCTCCGAAACTGACTTTCGTCCATTGAATTTACTAGGAGTATGTATTTGTATGTATTTATGTATATATATATATATATATGTATATATATATATATGTATGTATGTATGAATTTATCTAAATCGATACTTCAAAGTAAAGTTAGAGTACAAGAATAATAAGAAATTTCATCCGGATGAATAATCCCGTATGTGTCTCGCTTATATTATACAGTTCTGTTGTCATTTATCTTTTATTGTTTGTTAAACATTCTTGTTTATTTGTAATCGATACGAGAGAAAATAATCGAGATGTAGGAGAAAGAAAAAGAAAGAGAGAGAGAGAGAGAGAGAGAGAGAGAGAGAGAGAGAGAAAGAGAGAAAAAGGGATGTCACCATCGTGCGATTTCATTTATAAATTATTTCCAATGGTTGTGATCCATTTATCAAACAAGCAAATAATACGTACGTACGTTATTAATTGTTAGAAAAAGCTATTAATATACATCACTTTGAATTAATAAGAACGTTTGTTTGATTTAACGTCATTTTTGTTCGTTTCGTAAAATAAATTATATTACGATACGTACGTACAATCATTTTTTATGAATATATTTGTAATATTTCATTATTTTATTCATTCGCTCGATTAGAAGGGAACTATTGTCGAACGAATTGTTAAGGGAAAATTGAGATTATATATCGGCCTGACGAATCCATCGAAATGAACAACATACATACGTGCTACGTTGCGCAACGTTGACCAGGGATTTCAGTAATTCTAGTGCGTCATCAACGTTCACTTCTCGTTGATGCTCGTACGCTTGTCGAGCCGTTGAAAAAATAGGTATATTGATCGAGAACGCACGATTTATTTTATAATCCCTGATATAGAAAAGTTCGACGATGATGTTTTTTTCCTTTTTTTTTTTTTTTTTTGCTCTATGAATATTTGTCCTTTTTCCGAGGGTACATTATTTCAGGGAAGAAATTTTCTTCTTTTTGTTTTCGTTTTTTTTTTTTGTTTTTTTTATTTTTTTTTTTTATTATCATTTCATTGATTTCATCGATACTTCGGAAATAAAAATGATTATACCGAATTTGATAATCCATTGTCTATAAGTCATAATTGACTTGCAAAGTCAGCTTGGTTATATCGATTGGGGTGAATGGGCGGGAGGAATTGGGGTTCAACATACGTTTGAAAAAGTATCGATGCGATGGAACCGTAGGTTGATAATAAAAAAAAAAAAAAAAAAAAAAAAAAAAAAGAAAGAAAGAAAAACGGATTCCAGTTCCGAATTTTGCGACGATTAGTCACGATAAATTGCCACGATATCGTTTCCGTTATCTTCCAACTTTTCCAGCTTAATGATCCAAAGCCCATGCCCATATCCTCTATGGGAAATGGCATGGTACATTAAAAGCTGGCATTATGTGACGTGTGCAGAAACGTAACACGGAAACTTTCTTATCCGTATATCCGTGTTGCGTATTATCTTATTGAATAATTCAATCGGTTTCAATGTTTTGTCGCTATGTAAAGGGAAGCCACACGTATGTGATATACGAAGAGTAACTTGGACAATCCGATTATAATTTCACGGGAATTTTCCTCGTTCGTATCGATTCGAGTTTGTTCTCTCTTTCTATCTTTCCAATTTAACGTTTCGGCTTATCGTTTTATTGCCCTCCTACTTTTTTCCACTCCTCCTCTTCGTTCTCCGGATCCTCTCTCTCTCTCTCTCTCTCTCTCTCTCTCTCTCTCTCTCTCTCTCTTCTCTCTCGATCCCCTGCCAACGAACGAAATCTCTGACTCTCAATTTTGCGATTTACACAAAACCGAGGATTTCAGTACTTTCATCCTTTCGCTCGTTTTCACATATTTTCGATCATATTGCCGTTGGCGAACAAATGCGCCCAAATATATACTTGTATATAATTGTATTACATTTATATATTTTCGTAGATAGGTTAAATACCTTCGATAGATTATTGTAATTTATAGAGACGTTTGGTTTGGCCACCTGGTGGGCCCATAGGTTTCTGTTTTGCAATAATCTTCCGGTCTGCTTTGATAATTAGTACCGCACACAAGTTGATAGGCATTAGTCGATAATCGTATTTCAAACGGTTGTCCAATAGTTGAACGACGAAATTAAAATCCAATCGGTCCGGGTCGGCTCGATCGGGTCGATCGGCTTGATCGTCCTGATGGTTAACGATCGCGATATAATCTACGAAATCTAATTTTACCAGGAAATTGATAGACGTGGTCGTTTGTGCGTGCAACCTAGTACGCGACATACACCCTCGACCACAAACCCGACGAACGTAAATATCCAATCAAACTGATTATTTATTTCAATTATGCTATATTTCCCGCGTTAAAGGAAATAATTTCAGTTCTTGCGTTCGTTGAAATTAAAACGTATACCGTATTCCAACGTTATGTTTTCGATTTCGTTTTACGTTAATATTGTTATAAATTTATTGTTTTGAAAGAAATGAAAAGCGATTGTTCGAGTGGAAATTTCTATATATTATATCGAATTGAAAATATAATTAAAGCGGGATTTAGATTTTACGTTACAGTACGTATTGGTAGAAAATCTTCCTTTTGAAATGGGCTTTTCGGTTTGGCCAAACGTTTGTTTCGGAGGTACAACCACGAAACGTCTAGAACAAACGTTCGTTCAACGGACAAAATTGAGTTATCGCTTTCCGACCTGTAACTTCCGTCTGTTTTGAATCGCTAACTAGACCGGGTCCGTTTTCGAGATGCCCGAGTAGTCTGGCATGAAGACGCGCAAGGAAATAATGGATGTTTTATGTATGCAGTCACGTTGTACGGTAACGATACGGATATAAATATTTAATGAGAGAATCGTAGTAACAAAATGTGATACCATGGATAAGAAGATCCTTTTCTTGATTATCCATGCTTTTTTCGAGATTCAATTAAGAAATCTAAATAAGAGACGACGTATATTTTATATTTTATTTATCCGATTGAAAAAATACTCTTATTTTTTTTTTCCTTGTCCCGATTTCTCTCTCTCTCTCTCTCTCTCTCTCTCTCTCTCTCTGTCTTTCTCTCTATGTGTGTGTGTGTGTGTGTGTTTGTTTGTTTTTTTTTCCCGATAGAAATATTCGCCATTCGCAATTATTCCGATATTTTTATTTTTTTATTTTTTTATTTTTTTTTTTCATTTACGAATCGAAGAAATAGATCGTTCACATTAGTTTTCTCGCGTGATAAATAAAAATCGGGAAATACAATTAACAATAATCCTCATTGAAATTCGGAGACATCGATCTAATTTCCAGAGTACGTTTTCTCTCTTAGTTCTAAGACCGGCGCACGAGCGCGTATCGATGAATGTTTACTTTACCTTCGGAGGTAAATTAATTTATATGCAAATTAAGGTTCACAAAGTGGCGAGACGCATTGCGTTACAACAGTCCGGATGATAGGAAGCAATTAGTTACATAATTGGTATTTGAAAGGACAAGTATTCAGGACGTATTTTCAATGGGGCCATCACTCATTAGCGCCATAAAAATATTTTAGATTTTATTCGTCACAATTCCCTACGCGAATTACGAATAAATAGGTGTGCTAATTTTATTTTCTCTTTTCTGTTTTTTTTCTTTTTCTTCTTTTCGCCAGTAGTGGTGGAACTACAGGGGGGGGGGGGGGGGGGAGGGAAAAAAAAGAAGTAATATTTCTTTATTTAACTCTAACGAATGACTTATCGACGTTTCTACACTTAGTTTCAATGGATCTGATAAGAAGAGTCAGGGTAGCGAGAAGCACTTAACTTGGAACGTGACTCTATTTCTTAATGGGCTTGAAATTCTATCTCTTTTTCTTTGTCAGCCAATCTATTCTCCCTCAACATTAGATCTAAGAATGTAGGCCTATATATGGCAAGGGTTATCTCTTCATAAAGCAGAGATTATTATGATGAATTTGTCGAATAATTCTATTTTTCCTTTTTCTTCTTTATCTTTTCCTTTTTTTCTCTTTCGCTTACAATTAATAACCATTAACAACAAAATATCGATTATTATACTCGATCGATGGAAAATCAAATTTATTATAAATTCATATTGACGACAATATTTAAATAGTTATAGGTTCAGATGGATATAAATTTTTTCGTTTTTTTTTTCTTTTTCTTTTTTTTTTTTTTTTTATATAAATATCGAACGTAATCTATATAAATGACAAAGAGATTTTTTTTTATCTCTTTTTTTTTTTTTTTTCTTTTTCCACCGGGAAACAATAAATGTTTGCACTCGTGAAACGTATTTTACATTAATGTTCCCGTTCGATTACATCGATTAATACCAATTAGAAGGACTGCTCCTTTAACACTATTTCCATTCCTACTAATCGCACTGGATCCATTTAGGATCTGAGAGAAGAGCACGAGAGCGAGTGAGAGAAAGAGAAAGAGAGAGAGAGAGAGAGAGAGAGAGAGAGAGAGAGAGAGATAGATAGATAGATAGATAGATAGATAGATAGAGAGAGAGAGGACGAAATGAAAAGCGGCTCGTACGGGAATCAAGAATGGTCGAGTTGGCGAGTTAGCGAGACAGCGAACGGTCTACGTTGAAATACTGGAAACGCGACAATACAGGGTTGAAGCTAAAAGGTGTACCAGAGCGGCAAATATAGGTAGATACGTATGTGTCTGTCCTTTAAATGCATACGTATGTGTTTGTCTCTAAACGCATACGTATCTATGTACATATGTGTGTTTGTGTGTGTGTGTGTGTTACTCACTGCATGTGAAGGGTCGCGACCGGCTTGTCGGAAAAGAGGACGACCGGTCGGTCGAATCGTTTGTTGCGACCGCAGACTCGAGCTCCACCCTCGAATTGAAGCCAGCCACCCTGGCACCTGCAACAAAAAGACGATTTTCACTGTAACCAGCCATTACTCTCGCAAGAAAAAAAATAACCTCTTTGGGTACCATTTGTTAATTAATTTCGTTCGATCATTTATTCACGTAAATTATCATTTTAACATTTAATGATTAATTTTTATTTTAGTTAAATGAAATTATTTATTTTAATTATACACACGACAATATTTTTCTATTACTTATAATACTTTCTCGATCTCTCTTCGTCTCTTTTTAACATCAAGAAGAAATCAATTATTTAATCGTATTCTAATTCTTCTTTAACCTTTCCACCACGCCATTATACCTTGCGTGCGTCCAATTAATAATTTAGATCGAATTGGTAAACGACGAAGAGCTTTGAGAAAAGCTTTAGGGAAAATGGTTAATTAATGCAAAAACGTTGCTTCGCGTTTTAAAAGCGATGAATTAAACAACGTACTATCGATTATCGCGGAGTTCCAAACGATGCACGCTGTTGTTGTATTAAGCGCTTAAAGAATAAATATGGTTGCAAGCATATTCGTTGGTTACATCTATAACACCATCATCGGATGCATCGTATCAATAATAACCATATATTATCTCTCTCTCTATCTCTCTATCTCTCTATTTTTCTCTCTCTCTTTCTTTTTTTTCTTTGCTTTGTAATTCTGCTTTTTTACTATCACCATTATTACTGGCACCGCTATTACAACGAAATCTCGTTTCAATAAGACACGAAGGGTTAGAATTTAAAGTGCGATATTACACCACTACTATCTCGCCAGGATCACTATGATCGTTATATAAGGGTACTAAAATAAACGACGTCCCGTCTATTCCGAACGGAGGAAGAAATTTCATAGTAACCTCTTCAGGCGCCATTTTGAAAAGAGGTTACTCGGTTAATTGTTAGACGATCTGCCTGGTGAAAAGTCGTTATTACGGGTAACGTTTTCTCTGTGGAAGTGCAAGGAAAATTTTCTGTTAGGATGCATGTACTCTCTTTCTCTCTCTCTCTCTCTCTTTCTCTCTCTCTCTCTTTGCTTATGGTAGGAAAACGATTATCGACGAGGGTTAGAACCGAAATTGCTTCTTCGTTTACGCTGAGCCAACTTCAAAGGACTTGTTTTACTATAGCATGGAAAAGGGAAAAGGGAATGATGGTGAACTGTGCTAAAAGTGAAAGAGAGAGAGAGAGAGAGAGAGAAAGAGAGATAGAGAGAAAGAGAGAGAGAGAATAATAGAGGGTGGAAGAGAATGATAGAAGATGGAAGAGAAAATGATACAGAGGGGAAGAGAATGGTGATAGGTATTTCGAAAGTGCGGTAACACGAGTCGGTAATACGCAATGGGGGAATCATACTGATTCAATCAGTTCCGTCGTCTCGCTTTTGCTCTTCCAAAAGGGAAATACCGTAACATTCCATAACACGCTTCGCCGATTATTATCCGTCAAGATTTCGTGAAATATCGCGCCGGAAACGACCCTCCTTCCAATTTAAGGAAATCCAAGCACGACCCCATGTCACGCGAAATCAAGGTTATCTTTTAATCTCTAATCAATATAACGAAGATATACATACATACGTATATTATTCCATTCATTAAAATCCTATCGTCTGTATTCTTAATTCAATCTTTAACTCATCTCTTATTTCCATTCACCAAAAATAGAAATTTATTTGACCAATTTGAAAAGTCGACGATTCCTCTCGTAGTTACTTAACACTTTAATAAAGAACTTTCGTGATTTAGCGATAAGGATTTCTTTCATTAATGGGATTTGATTCCTTAAAGAACGTGTCGCGAAAGCAAACGAGTCTTGTCCACCTCCCTTCTCTCCTCTCCTTCTCCTCCTCCTCCTCCTCCCTCGTCACTCTCTCTTTTTTTTTCTCCTCGTGACCCAATTTCATTTTCTTCTTATTCGTCGATGATAAGAAAAAAAACAGAGTAAAAAAAAGAAAGGATGATAAAATCAAAAGAGAGAGAGAGAGAGAGAGAGAGAGAAATTGATATTAAAAGGACGAATAAAATTGGCAGATATAAAATATTTAAATTCTATCTAAACTACGTACAAAAAGGTTCGACTTGAAAAAGTACCTATATCATCTACAATGTTCAAAGTTTGACTTTAGATCTATTTTATCTCAAGGCTATCCTATGAAAACCAACCATAAGTCGGTCCTTGTTTTTATTTCATTACTTACACCATCCCTTTCGGTCCGTAGTGACAAAGAAATTTCACAATTATTATTTTTCCTAATCTCTTCTTTTCCCGTTGACAAAAAGAAAGATTAACATTATATAATGCATTTTCAATCCAATGCAATGGATTATAAAATTGAAACTATTATGAAAATAAATACTTTTGAAGTTTTGACGATTTTCTCTCTCTTTCTCTCTCTTTCTCTCTTTCTCTCTCTCTCTCTCTCTCTCTCTCTCTCTTTATTTTTTTTATTTCGTTTTTTTCTGGACATGCAACAACTTGATATCCTTAAGTTACGGATAGAAATTTTTCCATGGAGAAATAAAAATGGACAATTACGAAAAGAAAGTATAATGAGAGAGAGAGAGAGAGAGAGAGAAAAAGATAGAGTGAGAGAGAAAGGGGGGGGAAGGGTGGAAAGAAAGATAAAAAATATAGAATGATAGAGAGTACGGAAGCCAACGTTATCTGCATTCGAATGAATGCTTAAATTACGTGCATAATTCATCGTCCATTTGTTGAACAGGATTCAAGGATTCGCCGAACTTTTATATTGACTCTAAAAGTAACTTCCTACCGGCCGACGCGAGTATTATTATTATTTTCTTTTTTTTTTTTTCTTTTCTTTTCTTTCCTTCCTATCACGGCGATGCCTATAAGGAAGTTAAAATTTCTCTCTCTCTCTCTCTCTCTCTCTCTCTCTTTTTCCTCTCGAATGAATGCGAATCTCGAAGCGAACCTTCTACAAAATTGTGAGCATTTTAAAAGAACTACGCGCAATTACTCTCGTTCTCGTTCGACGTTATAACCCTTGCACGGGTTCTCCTTGTTATTAACGAAATATCGAATTTTAAATCTTATCGAGGTGGTTTTTACGCTTGGCTTGCTACGTTGAACATGACAGGAGCCATCGTAATTGGAATCGATGCATAGATCCTGTCTATATATATATATATATACATATATATGTGTGTGTGTATGCAAGCGAGAGAGAGAGAGAGAGAGAGAGCTTGATAGGCTCGCTTGATTTGACTACGGATTCTCCTCCGTTCTGGGTCGCATAGTAACATCAATAACGTTAATTAACATATCAACGAGACAATCCCAGAAACGCGTTTGCTCGAGCAATGCCTTTACCCATTCTGGAGAGGTTCCACCCCCTCCCTTTACCTGAGCTAGGCTCATTCGAATCTTGATATAATCCGGCATAGAGCAACAACACTTGCCTTCCATTGTTACGCATAAGCTAGGATACGTCCTTCTGTCATAGTTCAACCGTTCTATCGGACGCACTGCTTTTGAATTAATTGCTTGGCTTGCCTTCGATAAATTGCTGATTCTCTAGAGATCTTTGTCCTTTTTGAATGAATCCAACAATTTCCATTGCCCCCGGCATTTCTCTCTCTCTCTCTCTCTCTCTCTCTCTCTTTCTTTCTTTTACATTTTCTATCATTCTCTCTTCGATTCTCTTTCGGTCAACACACCGATAAAATACTTGTTTTCGATGCTATCGTATGTTTGACCCCGAGAAGAATGAAAAGCTATTTTTCTATCTTCGTATTGTAATTTTTTTTCTCCTTGTTATTTCTCCCTCTATCTTTTCTTTTTTTTTTTTGTTTTTCTTTTTTTCTCTTCTTTCTTCTTTTTTTTTTTTTTTTTTTTTTTTTTTAAAGAATTTATGACATGTCCTACGAGCCAAACTACATCTTCCTTATGACATTTCCTTTCGGAAATTCTCTTAATTCTGAATTAATGTAACGGAAATCTCAATGTTCTTCCTTTCTTTCTTCCTTCCTTCCTTCCTTCCTTTTTTTTCCTATTTTCTTCCTCTTCCTTTATTTATTTTCACGAACACGTCGGGGTTAAGGCATGTTGAGAAACAGTGGATTGTTTTTTGCGGAAAAAGAGTAAAAGTTATTAGTCTTACGCGACGTTTACACGATATATCGATACCGACGCGTTACGCTTCGTTTTCAGTGCATTTGGCGTCTGGTATCGAACCGTAAAAGCGCGAATCAGCCTTTCTCACTTTTTCTCCTTCGTTGGCAGTCGGATACACGTGAAAAAGAAGAACTTGGACGCGCAGCACGGTCCGTAGAGAATCGGCAAAGGATCCCCAGGAAATTGGATGCTTTTATTTCGTACCGATTTTCTTAGATGCAACGGCTGGTATTCTAACCTTTTGCTTTGCCCTTTTATTTCGTTCTTTATCCATCTCCCTTTTTCACTCGCCGTTTTCTTTCTCTTTCCCCCATAAGATGAACTTAACCCATGACCAGAAGATCGATTCGATTTCTCCACGGAGCACTAGCGGTATTTCTATTCCCGTAGTACGGCCGTTTGCAAGAATTTATTAAGCTACGAAACAGACCTTTGCACCGCAAATGGCGAAAATTTATTATATTACTCTATCAAGGTAATAATAATATGTTGAAGATCATTCATTTTCATAATACTTTTCTTTTACTTCTTCTAATTCTTCTAATTCTTACTATCTTGAAATTATGTAAAAGTCAAGAAAATTTCTAATCAATTACGAATCATTTAATATGTACGATGAAATCAATAGATCGATTGATTATACATGGGAAATTTATATAAAGAGATTGTTTAATTTGACAAATGAAGTTCTTATTTTAACATTGAAATTATCATTTTATTGAATTAAAATCTTCGTTAAAAATTCGACGAGTTTTTAAATATTTCTTGTTTTTTCTTTTTTTTTCTCTTTTTTTTTTTTTCTTTTTTTTTTTTATATTTGATATATCTTATTACGAAGATATTAACAGTATCTTCCTATAACGA